TTTTGGCATAAAGGGCTTTTGAGAGCCCCTCAAGGCAAAGGATTACCTTGATAATCCTTTGTTGACCTACATTCCTTTGTCCAATACCTGCCATTGTCACACATTCTGCATAATCTAGAAGAGAGGGCCTTTCTGTTTGGATTATGTTTGTGAAAAGAGTTGTTTCTAGAAATGCCTTGTTTACTGTCCCTTTTCAGGTGACTTTGTCTGCTACAACTAAAACATCTGACATTCGATTTTTCTTTACACCTCTTGAAATCACCTCTCCTTACCCATGTCTCATCGTCATGGCCATGATCTTCAATATTAATTGTTTCTCGGATCCAATCCTCCAAAAGTGCTGATTTTGCTTTTAAAGGCTTAATTATCCTTTTCCATTGGGCATTAGCATTTTCAAAAGCCATAGTTTCAGTTATTATTTTTCTAGCATCTGAGTCTGGTAATCATTCTCTTGACTGCTAAATGACAGTCTTTGTAAGAAATCTGTGGATGCTTCCTTTGGGCCTTGTATAACTTTTGTAAGTGATTCGATTTTCTTCCCTGCTTCTCCAATTCTGTTCCAAGCATTCCAAGCTGCTGCACGACATAAACCCAAGTGTGATCATCATATTGACATTGCTTTTCTAAAGTAGCACAATTTGCTCCAAGAATTTGATCTTGGGAGATATCTATATCTCTACCTTTAGCCTTTTGATCAATGTTCTTAGCCTCTTCTTTGAACCAGGAAGTCCATTGTAAATGTGATTGAGGCTCTAGGACAGCTTTAATCAAGTCTATCCAGTTTACAGAGATAACTCTGTTATACACAGACCACATGCTTATCATCTGCTTCACAAATGGTAAATGGATGCCGTATGAGACCGCAGCTTCCTTGAATTTCCCTAACATTGTCACAGGCTTCCAAGTAGCTCTTCTACAGCCTTCTTCATTAGATACTTCCTGTAAAGTTATTAATGGTGGTTCTCTTAAGACCTTAGAGTGTTCATTTTAACATTAAAATGCAATGCTGAATTTGGTTCTCCATGTAATTCTTCAGTCTGGGTTTGAATATCTCTATGACCTGCTTCAATAAGTTTTTCTAAGGCCTACATCATAGCACTCATATCAGCTAACTTTTTTAGAGATAAACCAAGAATTATCAAGCCAACAACAAAGGTTATCAAAATGATCATTAACAGTTTGTCTAGCCGGGCGGTGGTGGCGCACGCCTTTAATCCCAGCACTCGGGAGTCAGAGGCAGGCGGATCTTTGTGAGTTTGAGGCCGGACTGGACCGATAGCCTCCAAAACAAAACAGAGAAACCCTGTCTCATAAAAAACAAACAAACAAACAAAAAACCAGTTTGTCCATCCCTGTTAAGTTGGTTATTCCTTCATTTACTTTTTCCATTTTTAAATCATCCATTATGTAATCAAAGGCAGATCTAATTTTCTCCATTTTAATAGTGTTTTCCATTATTTAGTGTGGAGAAAAAAAACCTTTTTAAAAATCTAATCCCCTTCTTTAAGAATTCCCAGTAAACTTACCAAATGTGCTAATAGTGTTGGTGAAGTGTGAGGCATAACTTATCTGATCCGAGAACTAGCTTGTGGCCTTGGGCTGTAGGAAAGGCCCCGAGTTTGTGTGGCAACTGAAGACTGCTTAGAAAAGCTACCACCCAAAATCCCACACCTTCTCAAAGGCTTGAGGAAAAAAACGAAAGAAAGGCTGGTGCCTGAGGCCTCAAAGTGGCTTTCTCTTGAATTTGTGCTTTAATGTTGGGTGTCAGATCTCTCTCTCTCTCTCTCTCTCTCTCCCTCTGTCTCTCTCTCTCTCTGTCTCTCTGTCTCTCTGTCTCTCTGTCTCTCTGTCTCTCTGTCTCTCTCTCTCTCTCTCTCTCTCTCTCACACACACACACACACACACACACACACACACCACCCAGAGTCTGGTATTGGGGTTCAAACTTCAAGCTGAAGATTAGAAAACCAAAGTAATGGGGGATCATTAGCTCTTACCACTACCTGAATGGGCTGATTCTGCTGCCTCTCCTCAGCATGGCTGGAGGATCCTGAGACTGAATGTCTCCCTGTCCTCGGTGTGACTGGAGATTGAGTGCCTGATACTGACTACTGAAGACCCTGCTCCTGTCTTTTATACCCCTCTAGTGCTGGGATCTCAAGTGCTGAGATCGTCTTTGTGTGAGCTGTTTCTCTTTAGGACTGGATCAATCCTATGTAGATTTGAACCAACCTATAGTTCAATGTCATTTTTCACAGATTTTTAAAAAATGTCTGAAATTGGTGGGGAAGCACCAAAACCCCTGCTTAGCTGATACAGCCTAAGCAGAAGGCAAAGCTGGCAGCATCTTGTGTAAATCAATGTAATAAAGCAGAGGACTCAGAAATAAACCCATGCCACATGCTTCTTCAGTGCCAAAAATGTGTATCAGAGAAAAAGTCTCTTCAGCTGACGGTGCTGGAAAAAAGCCAAGATGGACATGTAGAGCGATAAACCAAATAGCCATATCTCACTCTGTATGAAAATTAATTCAAAATGGGTCAAGGACCTTGTGAGACCTGAAGACCCGTTAGACAAGAAAATGTAGAGAAAACACTTCAAGACACAACTGTAGGCAAGGAATTTCCATAAAGCAATTCACCAGTAGAAGAAATGATTACAAGATTTGACAAATGGGATTGTTTGACCTTAAAAAGCCCCTGTATAACAAAGGAAATGATGAACAGAATGCAAAAGAGAAATCTGTGCTGTGTGTACACTGAACTGGGGGTAATTATTCATAGTATATAAAGAACTAAAATCACTTCCTGTCCCCAAAGAGCAAACAATGGATGGGCAAATAAATTCAGGCATTTCTCAAAAGAAAAAATGACTAATAAATATGTGAGAAATGTCCAATATCTTTAGTCATAAGGACATTAAATCAAAACTACATTGAGATGATGCTTCACTCAGAACAACTGTTATCAAGGACACAAGTCACAACAAATGCTGGTGACCTCATGGAAAAGGAGCCTTTAGACGCAGCTGGTGGGATCACATGTTCAATGTGTGGGGCACATGGGCATGATGTGAACTCCACAGGATTTGGACAGCTTCACCCTTACAGCATTGCTATGTGACCCTACTGCTCTAGGCTGAATCTGCTCAATGTGTGTGGCTTTAACGTTTTGTGTTCTGGCCATCTTTAAATTCCTGGGGTCTCCTTACAGCCTCGGTATCATCCTCATTGCTTAAGTTATTGTTTAGTCAACAACTGCCTGAACAGACTTCAACCCCAAAAACACACAGTGGGCTAAATGCATTTTGCATTATGCTATGGTTACAAGCTCATGGGATCCAGGGAGTAGAATGTGGTGGTTTGATTAGCAATGGCTCCCATAGTAGACTCCTGTGTTTGGACGCTTGGCCCATAGGGAGTGGCTCTTTTAGGAGGTGTGGCCTTGCTGGAGTGGGTGTGTCAAGTGGGAACAGGCTTTGTGGTTTCATGTGCTCAAGCCATGCCCAGTGTGGGAGACAGTTCACTTCCTGTTGCCTGCAGCAGCGCTGTGTCTGCCTGCACGACGCCACGCCTCCCGCCATGACGATAATGGACTAAGCCTCTGAAACTGTAAACCATCCAGTAAAATAGTTTCCTTTGTAAGGATTTCTGTGGTCAAGGTCTCTTTACAGCAATAGAGACCCAAACCAAGACACATAGTCTGTCCTCACCCACTTTCCTTGGCTCCACCCCCCCCCACCAAATGATCTGGTAAGTTCAAATTCTGTATGACTACAAAGCCAGGACCCGCAGAGATCATTCCAAGGTTGTCCATCAGTTGTGGAGGTAGTTGGTCCTCCTTTGACCATGGCTGAAATAGGCTTTCAGGTTTAGAGTGTCTGAGCACAGCAAGACATTCCCTTGCGTTGCTCTGGGGGCGGGGCATCCTAGCACTCTCTTCTCAAAGCAAAGCCTTTCCAATGAGTTTACAAATGTACACCCTTGAACACGGAATGGGAGGGGCCAGTTCTGAAGCTGCTCTCAAGGCATCTTTCTCGTGTCCCAGTGACGATAAGAAATGGCACTAATCTCTCAGTAACTACGCTTTCAAAGTGTGGCACAACGTGGAATGTTCTTTACTGGTCCGAGCTTTTCAAATCCTTGTACCTCAGTTTTCATTCCTAAGCTGCATGGTAGACCTACCTGAAAGCAGCCAGCAACGCGTACCTGTGCCATTGCCTGATTATGTACTGCCGTGAAATTTCCTTTATCAGAGTCCTCAGTCCTTTGTCTTTGAACTCAGCATCACAAAGTCGCAGAACAGACTGAATATAGACGAGCTGTACTTGTTTTCCAGAGTGTGACATGGGTGGATTCTAGTCTGGTCCCTCATGCTTCCCTTACACCAGAAACCTCATAGGCACAGCGCTGACTGACAGAGGCCCTGCCCCCTAGCATGACCTCTGAACTCCAGGTTGACCCTGTCTTCATTGGCCACTCTGTCCTTGATTACCAGGATCTGGGGGAATGTATTCCTATCAGTGTTCTGGTCTTTGGTGCTCTTACCAGAACAATCCACAAAGCTGTTTAGAAAAAGACTGCATATTTGCCTCCCTGAATCCTACTCTCCTAGGCAAAGACTTATAAACCACTTGACCAGATGCTGTAACAACCACTATCCTAATTCTCAATGCCACTTTTGGTGCTCATTGGCTTTCTGTACTGTGACAACATACTTGACAGGAATAACTTAAAGGATGAAAGATGTATTTTGGCTCATGTTTTTGGAGTATTCCTGATCACTGGGCTCCATTTTTATGGTCTTGTAGTTAGGCCAGACGATATAGAGATAGATAGATAGATAGATAGATAGATAGATAGATAGATAGATAGATAGATAGATAGATGGGTGTGCTGGAACAAGGATGCCAGCCTGGTGATATTCTGGAAGCACAGGGATAAAGATGGGGGCGCAGTATCTCCTCCGAAGGCATGCCTTAACTTGCTCACTTCTGTCAAGTAAGCCCTACCTCCTAAAGGCTGCACTTGCTCTCAGTGGAACCTTTGAAGTGGTTCCCCAAGCCTTCCACAGATGAAGGGATGCATTTAAATGTCAAACCATAACACCTCCTTAGGAACAGCCAGTTGAAGAGGTGTGACAGGTAGGGCTCAGAAGACTGGGTTAAACATTAATGCAGCTGTCATCACAGCCCAGAGCAGCAAGTGCCCCAAAGCCAAGTTTCAGACCTGCCTGGTGTTCCTAGAGCAAGGCGTGGCAGCAGACATGGCTCACTTTGCACAGGTCCTAGCTGAAGTGGGAGACTTTGGTCGCTTCCAGGCACAGGTGACCATCCTGATGGGCATCCCCAATTTCCTGTCTGCATTCTTCGTGTTTGGCCAGGTCTTCATGGTCCTTGATGAGCCCCACCACTGCTCGGTGTCCTGGGTCAAGAACCTCACTCTGAACCTAAGCGCTGCTGAGCAGCTGGCAGCGAGCATACCCAGCGACACAGCAGGCAGACCTGAGTCCTGCCTCATGTTCCGGCCGCCCCCTGACAACGCCAGCCTGGAGGACATCCTCAGCCACCGCTTCAATGAGACACAGGCCTGCGACTCAGGCTGGGTCTATCCCGAGAACAGGCCTCCGTCCCTGAAGAACGAGGTAGGAGAGTCTGTTGTCTGTGTGCTCACTAGTGTGGGGGTCTGTCGCTGTTCTCTCTGAGCCTGCGCCTTCGCATGCCCTCTGTAGCCCTGCCTCTGTCTTCAGGCTCGTATGTAGCCATCTGTTGCCTGTCATCCGTGTTTCTCTTTGCCCTCTGTCTGTGGCCCGTCTCTCTGATTTCCTGTCTGCTTCGCGTGGCTCCCATTGGTGTTTCATTTTTGCCTGTCTTTTTGTGGACCTGGTGGCACCGAGGTCCCCATAAACTGTTGATGGAGAAGAGGTGTTTTGCAGAGAAGAAAAACAAAAGGGAGCCTGGCCTCAGGCAATCGGTGGTGTCTGGGAGATGGATCCTTCCCTGGTGCGTTAAGGAAGGGGATCTGGGCCGCAGAGGCCAGAGGGGGAGTTTGCCACGATCATAACTTCCTTTAGCTGTCATTGTCTATTTGTGTGATGCCCTTGAAAATAACGCATGCATAAAAATTGGCAAGAGACGGGGCGACGGCTCGGGGCTGAAAGTGCGCGCTAAGTCTGGGTCCACAGCACCCATGTAAGAAGTTTACGCCACACGCCCAGCCTCTGCTCCTCTAGTCTGTATCCGCCAGTCCCTTTGTCTCTCAGAGTCTATCTGCAAGCCTGCCCGGCTGTGAGTTAACTTATTCCAGAGACTTCTAATCTTACGTGTCTAATGTGCACCCTCTGCCTTCCTATTTACCCATAATGGTCCCTACTTTCCAGCTTCCTTCTCGGTCTCTTCCTGCCTGTTTCTCGCATTCTGGAGAACACGTCAGACCCTATGACTCTTGTGTGGAACCAACCATTTGCTTCTACTAGCTCTCTTCTCAGAAATTCAAGCAGGGAACCCAACTTCTGCAGCTGTCCCGGAGTCCCAGCGGCCCCCAGAAAGCATCTGTGTCAGGGCTGAAGGACTGAGGCAGACTTGGAGGAGATGACTTAGCCCAGTCAGTATAGCACGCTGATGGCAGAGCCAGGCTGCCATGCTGGATTCCCACTGCCTAGCCCTGCCTTTCTTTACAGCATGAGAGCACATACGGAGAGTCCAGAAACCCAGCGCTGTGGGCTTCCATTATATGGAGAGTCCAGAAACCCAGCGCTGTGGGCTCCCATTATATGGAGAGTCCAGAAACTCAGGGCTGTGGGCTCCCACATATGTGGGCTCTCTGTGTTTTCATCATGTTTATGGTTGTAGATCTCCATCCCACAGATTAAACATTCACACACATACCCCACATGCTTGTAAAAATATTCAGCTTTGGAAGTCTCTGGAGACAATGTTTTAACCGAAGTGAAACATTCACTTTTTTGGATGGACTGTAATCTTTCCATGTCTGGGGGTATGTCCTTGCTGGGCTTCTCCTCACTCTGTCACGCTGCCCCCTCACCCAGGGGAGGTAGGTGGCTTAAGGACACTCCTAATCACTGGCCTGGAAGACTCTAGGCTTCTCCCTGGCTCCCTGGAATCACCTCATAGTACTTTCTGACCTTGACTATCCCTCAAAAGTTTGGGGTTCACTTACGATCGCACTGAATTCCTCGGCCCAGCTGGTCAAACAGCAGCATCTTCAAGGCCCAGTGAACCTTCTGGATTGCTGCGTCTACTCTACGCCTTGTCTCCATGTGTGCTGAACTGCTGCGTCTACTCTAAGCCTTGTCTCCGTGTGTGCTGAACTGCTGTGTAATTTCACCCAGCCTAACCCTGGCAGCAGGCCTGACTCCTCGTGGCCTGAAAGCACGTAAGAGTCTCTACTGTCCCCTCATCTAGCACTGTTCCCAGTTCCCTCTGTCCCCAACCTTCGGCTGGGTCCCTCGCTGTCAGGTTCCAAGCCTACACTGAACACACAAGACAAACAACTAAAGGGAACAACCACTGAAATCATGGGCTCAATCCATTTGATGTATCCTTGTTCTTAAGTTGTTTTACTGTTTTTATGTATGGGCGTTTGCCAACTTGTGTGTGTACCACATGCGTGCCTGGTACCTGTAGAGGCCAGAAGACGACATCAGAGTCTCTGAAGCTGGACTTACAGGCGGTTTTGAGTTTCCATGTGGGTGCTGGGAGCCAAGAGCAGCCAGTGCTCTTCACTGCTGAACCACATCTCCAGCCCCTGATGCATTGTTTCTAAGTACATTTATTTACTGTGTGTGTGAGTGTGTGTGTGTGTGTGTGTGTGTGTGTGTGTGGTATGTGTGTGTGTATGTGTGGTATGTGTGTGTGAGTGTGTGAGTGTGTGTGTGAGTGTGTGAGTGTGTGGTATGTGTGTGTGAGTGTGTGTGTGTGTGGTATGTGTGTGTGTGAGTGTGTGAGTGTGTGTGTGTGGTATGTGTGTGTGAGTGTGTGTGTGTGTGGTGTGTGTGAGTGTGTGAGTGTGTGTGTGAGTGTGTGTGTGGTATGTGTGTGTGAGTGTGTGTGTGAGTGTGTGTATGTGTGTGAGTGTGTGAGTGTGTGTGTGTGGTATGTGTGTGTGAGTGTGTGAGTGTGTGTGTGTGGTATGTGTGTGTGAGTGTGTGAGTGTGTGTGTGTGTGGTATGTGTGTGTGAGTGTGTGTGTGTGGTATGTGTGTGTGTGAGTGTGTGAGTGTGTGTGTGTGAGTGTGTGTGTGTGGTATGTGTGTGTGAGTGTGTGTGTGGTATGTGTGTGTGAGTGTGTGTGTGTGGTATGTGTGTGAGTGTGTGAGTGTGTGTGTGTGGTATGTGTGTGAGTGTGTGTGTGTTTGGTATGTGTGTGTGAGTGTGTGTGTGTGTGTGGTATGTGTGTGTATGTGTGGTATGTGTGTGTGAGTGTGTGAGTGTGTGAGTGTGTGTGTGTGGTATGTGTGTGTAAGTGTGTGAGTGTGTGTGTGTGGTATGTGTGTGTGAGTGTGTGAGTATGTGTGTATGTGTATGTGTGTGTGTGGGGGGTGTGTGTGTGTGAGTGTGGTGTGTGTGTGTGAGTGTGTGTGTGTGTGTGTTGGGGGCATTGGTCACAGCATGTGTTTGTGAAGAAGGCAGATCTATATCCTACTATGTGAGTTTTGGGGAATGAACTCAGGTCTTCAAGTTGGTGTCTACCCCATGAACCATCTTGACAGCCTACATTTGGTGTTTGAAAAAGTTTAATCCTTTTCTTCATTTGTCAGTGAAAGAAGTTAAAAGCTAACTTCTCTCTCCAACAGCAAGTAGCCACAGATTCCATTGAAAGGTACCTCTTGGGAAAGAGGAGGGGCAGGATGGGAACCATCCACTTTAATGAGTCCATCAGACTCTGGATCTGCTCTTGGGCAACAGTCAAGTGAATGCATTGTTAAGTACAGTGCTCACCAGAAGCTCGTCTTTGACCCTGGAGGCCCAGGGGCATCAGTCAGGTGAATGCATTGTTAAGTGCAGTGCTCACCAGAAGCTCGTCTTTGACCCTGGAGGCCCCGGGGCATCGGCGCTTGCTTACCTCAGAGGCACAGGCTGGTCCTTCCACGGGCCTCCGAATAGTCTGTCTCTGTGTGTTTGGCAGTGTTCTGGCAAGGGCCAGCTTTTGGGAAATCTCTGATGTGGTGGTCTTCTATGTCTTCTTGACAAGCTTATCAATCAGAGGGGTCATCCCTAAGATCAGTCTGGGTCCTCGCAATGAAGAGAACAAGTAGACAGTGGCAGACCCCTTTTCTTTCTCAGTTTTGAAGCAGCACAAAGAGGTCATGGAAATACTCCTGTCTGCGGGTACTCAGCCACCGCTGTCCCCCGTAGCCCCCTAGCCCTAGAGCACCAAACACGGCAAGATTCTGTGAGTCTCCACCAATCTTTGACTGCACAGCAAGATGGCTCATCAGGTCTCCAAGCCTGGTGATTGTGATTCAGCCCACACAACAGGCAGAGGGACTCAGCTCCTGTAACTCGTCCTCTGAGCTCCATATACGTGCTATGGCATGCACGTGTGCACACATGCATAGGCACACTCACACAGTAAATGAGAAGGAAAAAAAAAACAGTATGTCCTCACATGGAGACTGGTATGTCGTATTGGACATGGGGAGACAGTGATACCATTGCTTAAAACAACTTGCTTGATGGTCTGTGTCCTGATCACCTGGAATTGTGACCCCCCCTTTATCGAGCCATTGTCTAGGTCAGATCAGTTTGTGGGCATGTCTCTGAGGCATTTTCTCGATGACTTATTATGTGAGAGGGCCCGGCCTACCGTGGGAAGAACCATTCCTAGGCTGGTTGGTCTCAGCCGGATAAGGAAGGTGGCCCGAGAGCCAGTAAGCAGCAGGTGTCTGATTCAGGTCTTACCTTGAGATTCTCGCGTTGACTTCTCTTGATTATGGACTGTAACCTATGGACCAAGGGAGCCATTTTTCTCCAAAGTTGTTTCTGGCCACAGAAAAGCAAAATTGCTACCAGGATAGGATTGTTGCTGGGCTGAACCTAACTGTGTGGTTTTGGGGGTTGCGGAAGACTTTGAAACTTTAAGTGGAAAATTCACCAAGTGCTCAGAGCTTTACTGGGCTCTTCTGTGGGAGCTTGGAAGGTAATGTTTCAAGAAAGGCATGTGGTGGGCGCATGGCCTGTGAGGTCTTGTGGTTGTGTCATGTTAGATTAAGAATGCATGGAAGTGAAACCTTTGCTGTGAACAGTGGATGCTGGTCAGCTGGGACTGAAAACTCAACTGTGAATAATAGAGACCACCATCGCTGAGGTGACTCCTCTCCTCGGAGTCAGCACACAGAAGCTATCTATGGTCTGGGGTGGGGCATGACTGCATCTCAACCTGGTAGATGAACTTGGCGATGTGTAAGAATCTCCCGTGTGGTTCTGATTTTGAAGGCATGAGAAATGCAAAATTGAGGGGGGGTGGGTTGTGACGAGCAGCTCAAGCCTGGAACCGTGTGGCAGTGTTGGAGTCTCTAAAGAGAATCCTGGAGAGGCCGTTTAGTGTAGGTTAGCCTCAGTTGCAGTGGAGACCCCAGGGTTGTAGGGGTTGTGGAAAGGAGTTGACACATGGCACCGTGAAG